AAAAAAAAAAAAAAAAAAAGAAAAAGAAAAAGAAAAACGTAAGCATAACTGTACATACTTCAGAAAACTGAATTTTCAACCATGGGTCCAGGTTATCCTCAAATTCTCTAATCAACAACAGTGATCGTTCTCCACATTTTACGGCAGTTTTAGAACCTAAACACAAATATTTCACCTTGTTGCTTCCTATTATTGTCTCTGCTTTTCACATTAGTCCTTTCCTCTGTTTTCAGAACCTAAGTCTAAACCCTAAAAACTTCAAACAAAAAATGGCATGAGCTTCCTGAAATAGCCAACTGCACCTTCACACAGCACTACGAAGCACTCTTCAAACATTATTCGAGATAGTGTTCTTGCCCTTCTCAGAAGCCTACCCCACCTTCTAAATGTTCACTCAAGTCATGGTGAAGATTTCAATCATCATGGTGAAGATTTCAGTGATGACATTTAAGCTGCCAGGCCACAAGTACAGGCAGGTGGCTGTTCTCAGGCTGCACCACTGAGACCTTTAGTTAGCTGAGTAGACTATATTGTTCCTCCCACTAGACAGGGAGACTGTTCAAGTTCCAGAAAACCAAAGTACTTACTGATGCTACAAACTTGCAGTCACCAAAGGATTATCATTCCCCAAACAAATTACTGCAAGGAGGAGTGTATGTACAGACAGCACTGGGTCACAAAGCCCCAGTCACATGCACTGTTCAGAGGCATCCTGCAGTGAAGCTCTGCATCCTACACACACGTTCGGTCAGGTTTTATGCTCTAAGTAGCTCACTGTGCAGTTACAAAGTTACATTTATTATTTACTAGGTGAAGCTAATTCATTCAGAGCTTAATTAGGACATTCCTATTCAGCAACAAGTAGTTTAAAAAAAAAAAAAACAAAAACAAAAAAACGCCAGCCTGCTATGTATCCAATATTGGAAAGAAATCTCCATCCTTCCTAATTCACATGGATATTATGCTCTCTTAAGCACCTCCACAACTTGATGTCTGACAACAAAACTGGCCTAGCAGAAAGCATCAAAGATACAGGAAGTAACGACAAGCAGACTCTTTTGCTAAGCCCTCTAGTTTTCTAAAAGTCATGCACTGCACACAGTGTCAAATAAGTATGTGGGCATGTTTGTCTCCAATGTGTATATGTTAAGGGGACATTTGGCCACGTAAATAACCTTTTTAAAATATGGTATATACAAATTATCCTTTAAAAAAAAAAATCAATCCTTTATACTTCCTCTTACCAAAGCTAAGAAATGCTATCCCTGGTACCCAGTGTAATCGGGCTAAGATTAAGGTACTTGTTGATTGATTCACAATGTTTCTGGTACCCAGTCTAATCAGGCTAAGATTTCAAGGTACTTGTTAATTCACAATGTTTCTTGGTTGCCATGCAAGTACTCAGAATCAATAAATATTCTCTTGCTCCTAAACAGAATCCTTCTTTGCAATTTTAGTGTATGTTCTTATAGCTTATACAATCTCCAAGGAGATGGAAATGAACTAGCTATTGACTCTATGTAAGAAATCCCACCTTGTTTGGTTCTGGAGGGAGAAGACAGAAAGAAATTACCAGTTCAATTGGCCTTTTAAAATAATTTCATTTTTCTAACCTCGTATCATCTTTGTAATATAAGACTAGTATATAGGCACACATGAGTTATATACAATAAAAATGACCTTGGTATTAAAATCTCAAATATTAAATATTAGTGACTTTTAAAAGTATAGAAAACAAAGTTGTCAGCAGTATCATTTTAAACATTTTCATTACTAGAATATAAATGAAGAAATTAAAGAAAGTGAATAAAATTTTTGAAACTGTCAACATTTCAAACTATTTGGATGTACCCAATTTCAAGGAAACTTCTAAAACTTAAGAAAAACTGTTTTGGTTTTCAATCCTGAAATTACCACTATGCTCCCAGGGCACAGAAATAAATGAGAGCTGTAAGGAAAGACTCATTTCAAAATGCAAATATAAAGTACCTGGTGATATCTTCAGTCAATTGAGAAGGATCAGGAGGATAAAACTTCACATTAAAAGTGAATAGCCAGGGAAGGTCTGTAATTATTAAATATCACAGTTATGCACCCAATTAACAGAAGAATGACTATTGTGATAAAATTTAAAGGTCAAGGATCAAACAGTACAGACTAATCCAACTATAAATCAGCATGCAGAATTTTATTTTTTATTTAAATTAAAATTGCTTACAAAATAAAAATGAAATAAAAATAAAATAAAAATCAATTACATGAATAAGCCACCATTAAAGTGTAACAGGCTGTCTTTCTCATAAACATTCACTGGTACCTCAACATGTGTTTTATATGGTGATCTATTACACAAAAATTTTAATATAACCTCCATGTAATAGTTATGAGGTAAGATTTTATTTAACCACAGGATCTCCTGTTGCCAAATATTCTTTACCCTTAAAAAAAAAAAAAA